TCCCTTTGTTTACTTTTATAAAATAGAGCGAGCCATGTATGCTTTTAAAAAACTTTTTTTCTTATTCAGTCACTTTCTTTTTGACTCACCCTGTATGTTTACAAGTGATTTCCTCATCATCGCTTCACATATCTCCAATTCCGTCAATAATCTATAGACCATTATCATGTTCGGCCAACGTGATTTTTTTCCCATTCAAATCAACGTAACCAAAGCGAAGCTATTAGGAAAAATAGTCTGGTTCCTTTTTGCACAAAAAATATCATTCGGTGCTGTTATTGGATACAGGGAACAAGACTGAAATGGTGGCAGCATGATAAAGGCCTATTACCACGCCCGCGTCGTACAAATTCACAGTCTTTAGTTCAACTCTCCCTGGATCATGCTTTCTTCAACCATCATGAATCGTTTTCACTCTTTTTTTTTTTTTTTTTTAGGTCAGTGGTCCCAAATTATTATTGATTACGGTCACATTTATGAAGTAGGGCGATGCTCGAATTGCCAGTAAAACGAATAATTGGCGCTCGCTGGTGAGAAAAAGAGCAATGGGGAATTTAAAAAAATGGACCGGTATATTCATTTTCAACTGATCAATTTTTATTTCGTATTTACTTTTTGGCGGAAACTGGCAGACATAAATGTCTTTGAATTTGCACAGCGACGGAAGGTTCGCGTACACAGGCATGCGGTGGCCTGCTCTCTTCCTCATGAATTATATTATTTATTTATTTTGAAAAAAAATATAGAAAGCTTATTTTAATGATGACAATACATTTACAATGATATAGGTATAGGCCCACGATCAGTAGCACTACACTCTAAAACAACTTAGTCAAAATATTGACTGGTTTTCCTGAAAAAATGACTAGGAATCTAGTTAAACATGCAAAGTTTTCATACTACGGCTAGAAAAGTAGTCGGATTTGACTCCAATTTCAGTTACTTGCAGTAGTATTTTTCAATACTGACTGGAAAAATCTAGTCAGATTGACTGATTTTCAGTTGCACCCAGCTGACCCTGAATGGCTAGTCAAATTCAACTGGTTTCTAGTCACATCTGACATGTATTTTAGAGTGTATATGCATTATCAAAGTACAGAATAATGAGGAAAACTATTACATAACTGGTTGGACAATGGCCTTAGCTCGGCTTAAAAAAAACGAAAAGATTCTACTACAGCCATTTTGTTTCAGTCGCAATAAATAAATAGCATTTATAAATTCAAATAATTAATAACATGATGTATTTCAGGACAACAAGAGGGAGTAAGCTTGATAGTTCAAACTTCACGATTGATTTCAGCTCTTTTTAAAAAATTTATCTCCCCATCTACGGGTAACGAAAGAGTCTGTTTTTTATTACGGTCATCAGATACTGCCTACCTGATAGGCTCTCCGTGAAAAGTTATATCTGGTGTGGGTTTACCCCTCAGAGAGCGCTAACAGATCTCAACGACCATCGACGCGAATTTCAATCGAGATATCAAATTACTGGGGATTGGTTTCATTTACACCAAACGCAACCTTATTGTACAGTTTGGTGCAATCGTCTTGCCTATTACAAGATGGTATAAAGCCAAATTTATAGCTCACTAGTCCACATTTCCACATGAGGTATTATCTGTAGCTGGTATCCCGTTAGTGTTATGCTCAATTGGCTTAACAAACTTTCCGCTTAGCCATTCGAGAAAAAATTTGCACTTGTTATACATGTCCAACTGATGTGGACACAGCTGGCCTAGGCCCTGCATTATTAATGACCATTTATCCTTCAATACACAGTTTAATTCAACGGCTAATTGAAACTTAACAGGAATAATTTTATTCAACACTCAATTCAGAAAATTAGTTTCGGATTTAGCAATGTCTGTCGACGACTGTTCTGTGCACATCTTTTAACCAGAGTACTGTTAAGTTGGGTTTTTTTAGGTTAACCGTAGCCACTAGAGGGCGCTATTGAACAACTACACGAATACTTGTAGTGTAAGGCCGTTACCGAATCCGTTTTTCTCTAGGGCTATGACTACATGGTATATATTATGCTTGTACCCAAGTAGTTGTACTGGTTGAATACCTAGCCATTAGCCGTAGACGAGAGATTCGGACGCGGTCTAAGTCACGCCTATTTGTGGCAGGCCTCGACCGGATGCTTGGAGATTTCCGATTCACATTTTCAGAAGGGAACACAAAACAGCCGTCGCATCAACAACCAGGAAACAAAATTGCGCGGGAAATTCCAGTGGGAGGAATCGTCAAAATGGCAGTTGAAAGGTTGCATCGACCGCAACGGGGGAAAAACGGAACAAATCGAACGTTTTACGCTGGCCTTGTCAGCTAGGAATATAGGCGAACAAAACGACGTGTGTCCCCCGAAGTGGTGAAGTGGCCCATTTACACAATCATTGTAAATTGCTGGAATGAGCAACCGAAAGTCGTTTCTTTTTGTCAGATGATCACACTTGCTCTAATTACTTCTGGATTCAGCAATTAAAAGCCTTTTTGCCCAAAACATTTCTGAGTGCTTTCTAGTATTAAAATATTTAAGTGTTTTTACATATAGACAAACACTTTTGAGACTTTTTTGTTTTTCTTGCAAAATGTGACCCAGGTATTGACTGAAATCTTCGCGGGATCGTGACGTACAAGCCAAACTGGTGAACACAATTTGGTATAGCTCCTGCGGGAGTAAGTTAGTAGAAAATCAATAGGACAAATTAGTTGGATCAAACCTTTTTTCTCTATTGTGTTTATTTGACAGTGGCAAGCGCGGTCACGGGTCGACTGTTTAAGGAAGTCATGAGGACGATACTTAAAGAGCAACCGAACACTCCAAACTGGTTCCCCGCCCACACTGGTAAACAATGAACCGCTCGTGCAGGGCAGCGCGATGTCACGGGAACAAACATAGGGTAGGATAAATCTGCTTTCCCAAACGCAATCAAAGTCTGGAGTTTCACAGCACGCGGCAATTTGCCCGCAAATATGCCACTCTCTCCATCCAAGGTCTCTTTAACTATAGACCCGGTCACTATTTGTTCAGGCGTGCGAAAACCGTCACCTGACATTTTGCAAATGTCACATGACCGAATGCATGGCAGCCATCTTAGCAGTCTGAGTCTGTTAACATCATTAATTAGCAAGTTCAATCAAGGACCAGATGTTAACTAGTGGTTGGTTTGCGACGTACCTATAGCGCATGCGCACTGATGTTGAAGTGCGAACGACTCTAGTCGAACTATTGTCATGTCAACCACCGTGAGAAAATGTCGGATTCACAATTTTCAACACTTGATGTTTCCGTTCATTTACACACATATCAGTGATTGTGTTGTTTAGAACACCTTACATGATCGCCATTATTATTGTACAATGGTGACAAAAGTGACAGAATCGTGAACTTACATGGAAAATGCAATGAAAATGAAATTTATACACTCAGTTTCGTTTTGCCGCCGTTTTTGTTGACAGTTGGCCCCCTCTGCACTCATGCCATGGAAATTGCTCTTGATAACCAGCTATAAATCGTTGCGCTACCAGCCGCGGTAGGCTGGTCCTGAATAGTCGACTAGACTAGTCCAACCGTCGTCAACTAGCGTGCGTTCGATCAGAGTCAGTCGAACTATGGTAAACTACGGTCCTTGATCAAACTTGCCCAAGACACGGATACTCCTAATTGCTTCATCTTTTTGTGTGTTTTTTTACTGTGTCTTTTAGACTTCAGAGCTTCCGTATCAAGGATAACAGGAATCTTTTCTCTCTCAAAAAAATAATAATCTCGAAGTCAACAACACAAAACAATTTCAACGAATAAAATAACATTCTCTTAAGAACTAGTTATAAGTATATATTGCAAACGTTGTGTGTAAATCAGTGTCATACTTGGGGGGAAAATGAGCGTTTTCCCCCACAAAGATAATTTGAATTTGTCCCCTGTTTGCGTGTCCCGCCTCGACAATTTATGCATCGGGGCCCAGTTTATTGAAGACGTAACATTGGCAAACGGCAGTGAAAATACAGGTTGTTGACTTCTGTCCCCATGCGACCTGGTTCGCTCATGTGAGTTACAGAATCCGATATTCCCCGTCCAAACACCAGTCGCTATGTTTCTGCTCATGCATGTGCCTTAAGTGACGTTCTTCCATTCGAGAGTCGAGCCACGTGTTTGTTGAACAAATTACGCGCGCAAACAGACCTTTCCCGCCAAATTACCGCACACGGTGAACATTCTGCGCCAGAAAATGTTCTCGGTGACCATTTTTAGCCCGTCGGTGAGCCTCGGGATGTGGCAAGCTGCCACGTTTTTCCTATTATCTTATTTTTTTGTCTGTGACTTGAGAATACATGGAATTGTAAATGTTTCTTTAACACAGTCATTATTCAAACTAAGAAGAATTCAATTTCGAAACCAGAGAACGGCAGTAACGTCATTTGACGCATCATTTGTGCCACATTGTCCTCCCCAACGCTAAAAAAAATATCAAATTAACCTCATTTTATTTTCTGAAAATGTTATTGATAGTATTATTTTCGTCGCTTTTCTTCCTATTTCATCAAGTTTGAATAAAACATGTCTTTTATTAATTTTGATATCATTATTTTGATCTTGATTAAACACCTGTGTGTATTTTTAAGGGGTATCTTGACCACTTTGTCATCTGAAATCCCATCCCTCATCTCCTGTTCTGCTCTGAGGGACTATCAATTCCCCATCAATCACCTCAAGTGGTCATTTGTCAATATTTCCCTCAGAATTTCTCGGCAATAACAGAAGCATCGGGTCTTTGCGAACGATCCTTTCGAGTACATTGTTTTTGCCACGACACCAACCAAAACGAATCTAACGTTTCCGATGAAACATTGACATTGTATTAATTCGCCCTGCAGGAAAACAGTTGTCAGGGTGTCACTTTGATTAATCGTCCAATCACTTTGGACGTCCTTAGTAAAAACTAAAAAAAAAAACTGGTAAAACAGAAAAGAAAGGAATACATTAAACTTACCGTTCATTCAACTTTGCCGTTAGCCAATATTTTGGTGTGGTAATTGCAGTGGGCTCGAGGCATCAATCGCGTATCAAAATTGAACCTGCGACAAGCATACATTTCAATATTAGTCAATGTCCTTCACCGATGTAACGTTATAAGCAGCTGTTTGCTCAATAGTTTCCGGATGCTTGTCTTCGCAAGTTTACTGAGTGGGAAGTGTTTTCTTGTGAAGTTTCTGATCCCCACAAGCACTCAGCTAGCACAGAGTAGGCCTATAGACCTTATTCAAGAGGAAGCCATTTTGGATCATGTTCCCTGAATGTATTTCATACATTTGAAACAGTTGAATGGGACGGTGCCAGACTATTATGTTCGTTCCAAGCCTCACTTTCCATTGTTTTTTTTTTAAATCTGGCTTAAAACATTAGGGTATATTTAATCACACAGTTCAAATTATTCATCAGAGCAGACTGGTATAAATTTGTAATTAATTGAATGTCAGCGCTTTCATTTCTATTCGTAAGTTCCAAAAATGAAGATTTTACCTCGCTTTCAATTCCATATGGCCGACTCGTTAATAAAGCCTATACAGTGCTTCAAGCATTGCTTCGGAAAAGGCAAACCTCACTTTTTTACATTTTTTTAATGGTAATCGCCCATCACAAGGCCAATAGAGGGCCACTCAAGGTGCGGGCTACAAAGGAAAGTAAAGAGCAATAAGGTTACAGAGAGAGAAGATATCTATTCACATTTCTTTTGAACAGTGATAGATTAGGCCTATAAGTTGGTGGAAAACAAGTGAGAGCCCTTCTGAGCATACAGGGCGAGTACAAAAAAAACCGAAACCCAAACGGCAGGACCAATTTTTGAATGAAGTTTTGCAAGTAGCACTTTCACAATCTAGGATATGAAAGCCCAATCAATGAGCTTTCTTTTAGTACAAGAATCATTCTCACAGGGATGCATGTGAATTGTTTTCGTTTTGCTGCAAGAACACTTCGTTGTTTTTGTGATCCGTGGACAGAAATTTATAATGGTGTTTGTGTTCACAATTACATTAGTGATTTGAATGACTTTTGTACGAAAAGAAAGCTTAATAAATGGGCTTTCATATCCTAAATTTTGGGAGTGCTACAGGCAAAACTTCATTCAAAAATTGGTCCTGCTATTCGGGTTTCGGTTTATTTTTACTCACCCTATATATTATCATGATACGACAGACGTCAGTGCCAATGCGGTAAACTTCCCAGTCAGTGAAGAAAGAGTTCTCACTTCCAGTCTGGTTCCCAGCCCTCTTTTTAAAGCCTATAAAATAATGATTGAGGAACCTCAAACCAGCCTAATTAGCTCCTGCTGTCAGCGACAGCAAAACTCCAACTTCCCTGGAACGTACATATTGATTTCCAAATTTAAATGGAAAACAGCACCACAAGTAGGCTAACAAAGTGTGCCCTTCATTTACCTTCGTTGACAAAAACGATACAAAAAAGATACCAACGCCGCACTATCAGGAAAAGTTAAGAAAAACAACCGACCGACCGACCAAGTGACATGAAGAAGCTCCTGCCAGGGCTTAAAAAATATACCAACGGCGCACCATCAGGAAAAAGTTAAGAAAACCAATTGTGAACATAAAACCTTTGTCTGCCTAAAAGTCCATTCGTGACCCGCCCTCCTCAAATCTGAAAAAGCCGTGGATCTTACAATTTGAGAATATCTTTGTTGTGTTTGAGGTACTGTGACATAAATGCGAGATAGCACAGTTTCACAATTCAACAGTTCATGTTCCAGTTTCAATATCAGGTATCAAAGTATACTGACCTACTTTGGTTGTGTTTCAAAGCGCCTTGTGAATGGAAGGCAAATATTTTGCAATTTTTTTTCCAAAAAGCATGAAATTTGACACTACAATTAGAACAAAAAAGTAGGATCCAGTATGTGACAGGAGAAGCCTATTTGTTTTTATTTCAGTCTAGGTTTGAAAGGCTGTAGAAACCTCAGGCTCCCACAGGAACATGTATACATTTCCGTGTCTTGATCTCGCACTGTTGATGTTACCTATAATTTGCAGGGAATGGTCGATAGGGGGAGGGGGCTTTCTAGCATCGTCATTTAGTTTAAATCAACAAAATAGTGTCATTTGTCCGACTTCTACGAAGGCGAATTGGTATGCCTTGGGATTTCATTAACTTCAATATAGCTTACTCCATAATTTTATAGAAAAGCAATAGCAGATTGGACCCAGAGTGACCACGTGGCCCTTTCTATGACTTTCTATACAGTTCACAAAATGCACACTTCCAGAAGCGGCCATTTTAATTGCACTTGCCGACAGCAACACGCATGCGCTTGCTTGTGGCGTTTGCGAAATCAAGAAATCAAATGGCGGGAAACGGACTGACATCATCAGACAAAAAATATAGAACTCTTTGTTTTTAGTCATTGGGGAAAAAAACGTTTCTTAAAAATATGATCAACTATTTATCAAAACAAAAACTCAATCAGCTGAAACCAACAACATATAATGTTTCAATGCCTGTTTTGAACTTTTTTGTTGTAAGTCACAAGGCTAGAGTTTGCGAGGCTAACTTCTGCCGTCATACAGGGTGAGTCAAAAAAACGAAACCCAAATGTCGGGACTATTGTTTTAGTGAAGTTCTGCATGTAGCACTTTCAAAATCTAGGATAAGAAAGCTCAATTCATAAGCTTTTTTATAGTATAAGAATCATTCAAATCACTTAAGTACTTTTCAAGTTATGGAATTTTAAACACAACCACCGTTTTAAAGTTCTGTCCACGGATCACACAAAAGGTGTGCGTTCTTTCAGCAAAACGAAAACTATTCACACACATCGCGAAATCAAATGGCGGGAAACGGACTGACATCATCAGAAAAAAAAATATGGAACTCTTTGTTTTTACGCAAGGGGGGGGGTTGTGGAGATCAACTATTTATCGAAACAAAAATACACTCAGCTGAAACCAACAACATATAATGTTGCAATGCCTGTTTTGAACTTTTGTTGTAAGTCACAAGGCTAGAGTTTGCGAGGCTAACTTCTGCCATCATATAGCACATTCGACAGCTACCAGCACACTTCAAACTCATGTCAATGACGCAATGGGTAGATTTATAAATTACCAAATGTTATTGAGATTTAAGAGCATTCCAAAAATGTTCACCATTTCGCCTCGATCGTGCAAACATATACAATATTGGCGTCATTCCTTTCGCTGCAGATGACTGTTATGATTACAAAGGAACGGTTTCTGTGAATTTATTCATGTATTCATCTTTCTGCACTTCAAATATTTTCTAGATCTGTATAGCGATTTGGTTATTCTTTAACTACTTAATTTCCTTTAAAACATTGCAGGCCTACTTTGCCAGCGATTGATTAAACTTGAGTGTTGTGTTATATTGTTACCAACATCTGCACCCCAAATGAAATTGGCAAACTTGATCTGTTTGTATATTATTCATGGTAATGTGGGAAAACGTTCACAACATGAGGTCAAATAGACTCATAATGTGATTAATTACTTCTTCAAAGTGAGTGCAAATTGTCTTCTTACGCGATTGAACAAAGTTGTTCAGGTCTGACTGGAATTAAAAAGGCTACCATTGGAAAAGGTGGATTTAGTTTAGGAACGCCAGTGGGTTTTTTCTCCAGGGCCTAAACAACTTGTCACGGAAAGACGGCGAAATGCTCTAAAGATTACAATACTCCATAAACACATTGCCATATCACACATGTGTACATTATACACTGTATGTCTACTTTGAATTAACAAAATTCATACATTCGTGTATCGAGCCCAATTCATACATTCGTGTATCGAGCCACATGTAGCATGGCGATTGCCATGCAACATTGCATGCACAATTCAACTGTGCGTGCTGAACCGCCGTCCTGTGAAGGGATGGCATGCCCGAGTTTGTTTTTCCAAACATGAAAAAGCCTGAATTCAGGTTAAAGCCTTTTTCTGGAGAACACACAATGGGTTATGGTCATACTTTTGAATGTATAATCCGAAGCTATTTAGGCCTTTTCCAAATTCTGAGCGTAGGTGCACAGGTCCCGAGCGGGGTTAAAGGGGTGGGATGCCCCTCAAACAGGGGGGCGTGCCACTCCCCTTAGCCATTGCTGTTTAAACTCAGTTTGGCGTGTTTCCATTTCTGAGTACCCTGTGTGGCTGTGTTCGAGGGTGTATTTCCTTAAAGGGAAGATACAACATTTGCAAACATCAAAAAACGAAATGATCAAATTATCACGAAATATCTCACTGGATTGTTTGGGAATGACAGCCTAAAGCATCCTTAAAAGTTGCGGCTCCTGGTGTGCTGACATTTTGAAGAAAAAGTATAATTTTCCAACGCTGGTCGGCCGACCAGCGTTGAAGAAAACTTTTTTTTTCATATTTCGCTCCTACTTTTTCATATAAAGTTCGTCTACGTTTTCTTTGCAATTGATTACACACCTGTGAAGACTACAAGCCTGCTAGACTGATTCTCATGATCTTACAATTCCCCAAAGTCTATAAATTGCTCCGGTTCATTTTAAGTGGCGCCAGGGAACCAGATTACAAGAATATGATTGGTTTTCTTGGTTTTTCCAGCATCTACGAAACCAAAACGTGAAACAAGTCAGTGTAACAATATTTAATATAACATACTAATCCTCCAAATCCATTTATTTCTGAACATTCCCTTAATTAATCCATCTGTTGCACACAAAAACCTGTACACTATTTATTGATCTGCAACAAAATTATATTGTCAATTCAGTTACTTCTGTCGGCACTTTACTGTTCACTTCCAGTGGTGTAAATAATTAATAATGTTTTATGTGTATTTGTTTTTCTTTGCATTGTTTGTACAATTTTGTTTTCGTTTTATCAGCAGTTACCAATTAATTTTCAAAAACGAAAATAGCCCGATGAGTCATTATTTGTTTTGATGCATTATATTCTATATCAATATATCCTACGCTGGCTGTCTGTCTGCCTGTTTTTGTGTCACGTTTTGTTTTTTGGGGTGTTTTTTTTCTTTTTTATTTTGGAAGGCCTAAGGAGTGTACGGAAGTGGCAAATGCAAG